GGAAGGAAGGAAGGAAGGAAGGAAGGAAGGAAGGAAGGAAGGGACAGTTTGCCAGTTGAAGCACTAGTGTTATTTGACAAGAAAATACAAAACCATTGATTTTAGGAACATGATACATTTAACTTTATATTCAGTAAGTTGGACGCAGATCAGCTATCCATTGAAGCTACAGAAAATATAGTTATCATTAGCCTATTTCCTAACTATATTTAGCGAGATAATCATGGTTAATAGGTCTCAAGTGTTTTGCCATGTCTGACTTTTAGTTTGCATCTATACATATGACTTTTCTTACTCACCATATCAATTATTTTTAAAGTCCATGTTCCTGCTGGATCCTCACCCCAAGTGTGAACTGACATAAAATCCCAGTCCTTAAAACCATAGGGTGATTTATCCCTTTGCCGTTCAGCCAGTAAGACTGTGTTGGTCCCTGTATCAAAGAAAAAAGTGGCATTCCAGTATGAGATAATATAAAATGCCACTTAGCAGGCAAAAGACACACAACCACCGGCTTCATCCAGTGTTGTCCAAACTTGGCCACTTAAGGGCTATCAATACCAATAATACCTCCAGAATAAAACAATACCAATAATACCTCCAGAATAAAACAAAATTCTGGAGAATACCTCCAGAATAAAACAAAATATCAGTTCTAAGGAACTACAGTGTATGAGAACTATCACCCTTATGTCTAGTTTATGAAGTGCATCTGGTTGGGACAAGATAGATTCATTAATGCTGATCTGGCAATCTGAAACTTTAAAGGACCTGTAGAAATAGATGAAGCAGTCTTTTAAAATGCTATGAGGTTCCTTGTTGCTCCCTGTCTCACTTTAACACAGCAAAGATGCCTGATTTGGCTAGATAATGCAAATGATATGTGTGGTTTAGATAGCATCAGCTGCTATTTGGCTGACTCGTGCTATTCAAAATATTCTCATGGATATACATTTTTATTTGAAATTTCAGTGTATTTTTTCTTTATTCCATTCTAATTTGTGGGCAATTATTCCACTTTCCAATGTATTATTTATTCTTGTATCTGTCAAAATATTTAAACAAAATAATGCCACAATTACTAGCTAGAATTGTGTCTCTTTACCTGATGGGGAAGTCAGGGTCACATGAAGATCACCCCTGCGGGAATATTCAATTGTTGCTTCAAACTGTACATGTTCCAAGGATTTAATGGCATTTTCTTGGCCTTCACAAGCCGTTGTAGGAATTTCAATGGTAACTTCACCACTAGCTCTTAATAATCTGGCAACATGATTAGAAACTTAATTTATTTCATGAAGTTCTGATGCACTTTTAAAAATCTGCAAAGTTGCTTTATCCTAAGCCAGAGGCCTTTCAATCCAATTTTAAATTTCCCATGAAGCCCTGGAGTACTGTTCTGGTTTACTGGGGAAAAATACCAAGATAATTTATTGTTGCAGGGGAACACTGTTCAGAACAAATATAGATGGCAGTGGGCCCTAGCTGAAGGTTGATTGGGCTCTCAGATTTCACATGCTACCTGATGTTTGGGTGGATTGAAACTGGTTCCTTTTGTGTGCAAAATATATGCTATCAAGCTACAGTCCCCATTCATATCCCCCCCCCCTTCTTGTTTTTGCCATGCAACAGTTGCTGTTTCAAGATGGTTTAATCAAAGCCTATAAATATTTTACTACACAGCTGGATAATAAAAGAACTACCAGATGGAAGCAAGGGGCATTTGAAAAAATGTTCTTATATGGGAAGGCTATGGGTCTCCACGCTTTTTTAGATCAGAGTTCAGATAAAAACTGAACCAAAATAAAACCAGTATCAGCTCTTACCTTGGCTCAAAGCCATTGTCCTTAACTATGCATTCTTTCTTGTCTGGCACTCCTTTCCAGCTTTTAGGATCGGCCAAATCTACCAGTGCTTTAGCATTGAGTAATCCAAATCCAAATCTGCTGTTCACCATCAGCCCAGCTCCATTCTTCTTCCATCCTGGATTGTTGGCCAGTGGATCGAATTCAGATGTCCAGACTACCAAATGTTGCATATCCCTCCAGGTTAGATTAGGACTGTCACAAACAAAATTCTAGTCAATTTTGATATTGATAAGGCTTTAGGAACTTTGCCCATAATCCACATTTTTTAAAAAAAAAATAGGCACAGAATACTCCCCACCCCCCATCAGTAGGTTATCTTTAAGAGTATAAGTGCTCAGTTCAGAATATTAGCCCCAGTAATCAGCATCTCTCTACTGAATTTCCACCAGTATTTTTGTTTCTAATGTCATGAAAGATTCATACCAAAACAGATAAACCTATTAGAGATAAAGGAACTCTGTTCTTTGCTGGGAAAATAGACCAGCTAATCAACTTACCTTATTATACAATATTCATTGTTCTATTCTATTTATCATTGAGTTATATTTGTTCTCTACTGTATACTTATTAATGTTTTTTCTGATTCTTCTCTTCAGGCTCTCTTTGAAGGGATTTTTTGAAAGGTTCAAAATACAGCTTTTTGTTTAGAGATTAAAACTCTTGGGGGATTGTGTTTCAAAGAATGGAACTGCAATAATTCCACTAGGACAGCAGAGAAGAAGCACAATAAATGCAATATAGGAATAGACTGATCATTCCCTTTCCAGTCCATGTCAGTTTCATCTGTGTTCATCCAAGTTTACATATCCAAGAAGAAAATTTTACTTCAAG